TCAGCGAGGCCTTGAGCAACTCAGCAAGACGTTGTCTCTAAATAAAATATTTTAAAAAAGGACTGGGGATGATGTGACTCAGTTGTTAGATGCACCTGGGTTCAAACCCCGGTACCAAAAATAAATAAATAAATGTATATATAGAGACAGAGACCTCTGAACACCAGAATCGTGGAGGAAGATTGTTAGGACTATAGATTTAAGGACTCCGTCTTGTGTGGCCGTTGTGGTTCACTCTAGAGATAAAGCTGCAAATAAGATACAGCCTGCCCTGTCTTCATGGAGGTTATAATGGAGAGGAGTGAGTATAGTTTCCTCAGAGGAGAAGAAGGCAGATTGTAAAAGAGAAGGGTACAAGCAACAGAAACCAACTCCGACTTAAAGTAATAAGAAGACATTGGAAGCTTGTGTAGCATCTCACAAAGTCTGGAGGAAAGGGCAGGAACCCAAAGGGCAGTAGGGATTCGGCATCGGACACTGAGGGGGAACCTCTCCCAGGGCCCCGCGTCTGGCTGAAAGAGCTCCATTTTTTCAGTCTAGGACACATTTTTAGTCTCTATGACACAACTGGCATTTCTTGGCCTCACTTCCATGGTGCACCCACTCTTCAGCCCACCAAGAGTTTGTCCAAAGTAGGAGTGGGGGTTCCTCCAAGAAAACTCTGGGGGCTGTGACCAGATGTAGGGAAAATTGTGGCTGAGCAAGTTAAAACAACAGATGGGAGGTAAGTCCAAACAGTGGGCGCTAAACTATTCTTCCAGTAATTCAGAGAAAAGAAAAGAGGCAGAAACTTAAGAGGATTGGGGTGAGAGAAAGGTTCAGCTGCTCACCAGGTGCGAGGAACTAGGAAGTAAAATTTCATCTGCAATATAAGAAGAATGAACCTCCAGGCAGAGTCAATCACCCCCCGACACACACACACCTCAGTGTGCACGGAGCAGGGATGTGCACACAGAGTCTTCTGGCACAACTGTCACCAACAGGCCTCAGTGTGCTATTCCGATGACCTATGGAGAACTGAATATTCAAGGGTTCTTGATGGCATGGTTCTTTGCTGCGCACAGGAGACCTTTGGCTCTTGCGTGTCCACTACAAATCTGTTTGCAGTCCTGTTCTTACACTTTAGTATTTGTCATGTGGTTTTGCTACTGAGGTGCCCCTTAGGAATCAGAACCGTGGAACTTCACTTTGGTGGCCGGCTTTGGACGGAATGACGTGCTACTCTGGAGATCATGGGAATGGATCTGAATTTTCCAAACTGGCGACAAAGAAAGATGTTCGCTGATGCTCCTGGCAAACATTCATAGCTCCGTGGTCGAATAAGCTCAGGAAGTGCTGCACCCACGAGTCTTTTCTTGGATTTTTTTTTTGTGTGTGTGTGTGTGTGTGTATTTGAGGATATTGCAAAGAAGTCTGTTTAACGACCTGTGAAGTCAGCAACTTTGTGTTGGGGAGACCGTTCTATCTCCCCCGTAGGATTTAGAAAGTTCTTAGAGTTTAAATGCCTGCTATCTATCTAATCTATCTCTGTGTGTAAATATATATATGTATATATATTTACATATTTAAATATATAAATAAATGTATAAAATATATTGATATAAACATATGTATTTATAAAGTGTACCAAGGCCATCAAGTAATACAGCCAGAATCCTTAAAAAATTCAAAGAATTCCAATCAAGTTCATTTGTGATTGTTTTCTCATAAATACCTTTTAAAAAGAAATGTGCCTGCTTCACTTTTATAGCACTATTAAAACTTTCAGCCCACAAGGGTCTATATCGACCTTGGGCCTAGAAGCAAAGCATCACTTGCATCAGCCTTGCATGGTGAATTTGAAGGCTCAAGGGACTAATGGGTGGGTTCCCAGTGGCTACTTATTTCCCAAGGTTGTGTTTTGCCCTCAAACTAAGATTTTAATCATCCTGGCTGCACATTACAACTGCATGAGGAGTTTTGTCTTTTTTCCCAATAAAATTGACTGGGCTCTGTCTTAGACAAATTGATTCAAAATACTTGGGCGTCAGTACTTTTTTTTTTTTTTTTTAACTCAGATGATCCAAAGTGAAGGCAGACGGAAAAACACCTTCCACAATCCTCCTCCTCTCACTCCTAACGCTGTGGTTTCCCAACACCCAGGACGTCCATCTTTCCACTCCTTGGGCATAGAGGTCCCTGGCTCCTGGTCTTCTGTTTCCTAGTTTCTATGATCATCTCCACCTGGCCTCCCAGTTCTTGGACACCTCTACACCAAATGTCTCCATTTTCTCTTCCCTTTAGCAATGCTTATTAATGGCCACACCTGGATCTTGTCATTGAAATGTTCATGACTCTGGAGTGGTTAGCTCTGGAATTTCATAGGGTTATGTTATAGGTTGCATGCTGACCCTCCAAAAGAATATGTCCACTGAGATAGACCAGTGAGGATGAACTTACTTAGAAAAAGGGTCTATGCAGATGTAATTAAATTAAGGACCTGCAGATGAGGTCGTCAGGGAATAGGGTGAGACTCAAATCCAACCATGAGCGTCCTCATAAGAGAAGAAAGTGGGGGAGAGGAGAGGAGATACACAGGGATGAGGGCCACCTGGACAAAAACAGAGTGTGGAGTAATTTATCCATGAGCCAGAAACAACAAAGATTGCCACTAGCAGCCACCAGAAGCTAGTTTTAACAAATGCATTAAAGTTAGGAGCATTAAAGCTATCTCTCCCTCAGAGCTTCTAGAAGAACCAGCCCCTGCTAACAACTTGGCTGCAGACCTCTGGCCTCCAGAATTGCTAAGGAATCAACTTACGTTGCGTTCTGTTGCCCAGTTTACAGTTATTTCTTACGGCAGCCACACAAAACCACACATCACAACCTTGATTCTTTCCATGTTTACCACAGTCTCAAACTCATTAAATGTCTTATCCTCAAATTCATCTATGACCCTTTCTATTTCACCTTCCTCCATCCCTGCCCTGGATGCAATCAACAATCATTTCAATAGCATTATCACCATCATTAATTCCTCATGTGACTTGCTGTCCCAGTCCCTTAACAATGCACCAGTGCAGTCTCTCATCCTTCCCATTTTTTTGTCCCTGGGTTGCCAACCAGCGTGGACAAGATTGCTGACCCTTACAAGCACATCTTGTGTATGTTTATCAATTCTAGCTTTAACTGAATCTTCGGCACTGCCAAATAATCTTAAATGTGTCTTTACAGGACTCCCCTGCCCCTTGCCACCCAATCATCCTTCATAGTAAATGTTCCAGATTCTCATAATTAACCCTCAACCTATTCCCGTCACCACCCTTAATGTCCAGCGAGTCTCCTGTTACACTAGAAAGGTATAAGCTGTCACATTTCAACTCTTTCAATCTTCCTCTCCGGAATCTTAAACCTGACCTCTATCTGTACCCATCCTGAGCCCCTCCTGCTAGTCTCAGAGAAAAGCATATGCAGGGGGCTTACCTGTCCACCTGTCCTCAGACCCTTCCACCTCCATTAAGGTCTGAAAGCACACCTGGGAAGGAGACTTCAGATCCCCTACCTATAGCCCCTAACATCTCAAGCAGAGCCAGGAAATTAAAACAGGGAGAGAGAGGGGTTGTGTTACCTGACTCTGACCGAGGTCCCAACCCACCTGGAGTTCCGTGCTTCTTCTAGTCCACATGAAGGATGTATTTCAGATGTTTTTCACAGAGGAAGATGTCAGACCTCATTTCTGTAACAGTTGCTATCCCTGCAAACTAAGCTTTTCTTTTTTTTTTAATCCAGAAAAAAGATTTTCTTAATGTATTTGTAAAAAAAATCTTTGCCAGAACAACATTCAGTGACTTACTTTGTATTTTTTGAATATGTAATAAATGCATTAAAAATTTCAAGCAGCGTAAAAGATTATACAGTCAAAAGCAATTTACATTTATCCCTGATTTCCTAGTTCTACACCCACCTCAACTTCCCTCCCTTGGAGCAACTTATCTTTACCAGTTTCTTGTGTATCCTTCCAGAGATAAACATGCTGTATCCTGCCTGTCATCATTAGAAACTATCAAGTCAATCCTTGGGAAAAAAGGTTCCAGGACCCCCAGGGATTACTAAAATCCATAGAAGCTCATTATACAAAACGGTGTAGAATTTGCCTATAACCTATACACATCCTCTTGTATACTTTAAAGCATCTCCAGAATGCTTATGATACCTAATACAGTGCAAATGCTATGTAAATGATTATTATTATGCATTATATAAGGAATAATGATAAGAAACCTGTGCATTTGAGTACAGATGTAGTTTCCTCGTAATATTTTTCTATCTGCGATTGGTTGAATCCAGAGATGGAGAACCCACAGATTACAGAGAGCTGTTCTGTTGTATGTTGGAAATCCTCCCTATAAGTATGTGCAGAGCTGGGGATGTAACTCAGTGGCAAAGCACTCACCCAGCATGAGCAGAGCCCCATATTCAGTCCTGAGTGCCTCTCCCTGCAAAATACAGAGCTCCCTGACTCTGTTAATTGGCTATTCCATAATTTGTTTAACCCACACTGATGTATATTTAAGTCATTTCTAGCCCTCTGTGAATGTGTGTGTGCACACACTGAACTCAGGGGCACTCAACCCCTGAACTACATCCCCAGCCCTATTTGCATTTTATTTAGAGACAGGGTCTTGTTGAGTTGCTTAGGGCCTTGCTAAATTGCTGAGGCTGGCTTTGAACTTGCCATCCTCCTGCCTCAGCCTCCCAAGCCTCTGGGATGACAGACGTGCGCACCACACCCGGCTTAATGCCAGTCTTAAAGCAAACCAGACTTTTTTGTTTTGTTTTTAAAAAATCAAGAATTATGATGGGTTCTCACACCAGGTGAGAACCTCAAAGGTAACGGAGAGGAGAGGGCTCAACTGACCACTGGGCAGAGGCAGATGATGGGGCAGTGCCTGCGCCCCCCACTCACCCCACCAGGGGAACCCTGTCTGACCACGTGTCCCCCTTCTCTCCCCGCCCCCCAGGAGCCTGATGCCTAGGACCCTGGAGACCCAGATCACGCTGGAGAAGACGCCCAGCTACTTTGTCACTCAAGAGGCCCCTCGGCGGATCTTCAACATGTCCAGAGACACCAAGCTGATCGTGGTGGTGCGCAACCCCGTGACGCGCGCCATCTCGGATTACACCCAGACGCTGTCCAAGAAGCCCGACATCCCCACCTTCGAGGGCCTGTCCTTCCGCAACCGCAGCCTGGGCCTGGTGGACGTGTCCTGGAACGCCATCCGCATCGGCATGTACGTGCTGCACCTGGAGAGCTGGCTGCGCTACTTCCCGCTGGCCCAGATCCACTTCGTCAGCGGCGAGCGGCTCATCACCGACCCCGCGGGCGAGATGGGGCGGGTGCAGGACTTCCTGGGCATCAAGCGCTTCATCACCGACAGACACTTCTACTTCAACAAGACCAAAGGGTTCCCTTGCTTGAAAAAAACCGAATCGAACCTCCTGCCTCGATGCCTGGGCAAATCCAAAGGGAGAACTCATGTACAGATCGATCCCGAAGTGATAGACCAGCTCCGGGAATTTTATAGACCTTATAATATCAAATTCTATGAAACGGTCGGGCAGGACTTCCGATGGGAATAAGTCACCCACAGGCAAGGGTTTCCCCGATGGCCTCTTCCATGAAGTTCCATGAGACCCATCCTCCTCTTTCCCACCCACAGGCTCCAGCCCATCTTGGAACCAGGACAAGAAGGGTCCTGCCCCTGGCTCTTACTGCTCCTGGTACGCCCATTCAGTTCCAGAATCATTCTCCCTGCGGCCCATCAGAAAGAGGCCTTGAGCATTTTTGCTATCAAGAAGCGAGGCTCTCCCAAGGATAACAGATATAATAAGTGGTGATGGTTCTGTTGCTATGAACACAGCTGTCCGTCCCCGTCCCTGTCTACCCGGGAGTGGGGCTTGTGAATTCCAAGTGGCATGTATCTTCCCTCTGAGCTCAATTTCCCTGAGCATCCCTTGGTGGTGGGATGGGACACCATCTTAGTAGCTCAATGAGAGATGGTAAAGCCAGAAGCATTCGTCTGGCCCTTCCTGGGAGATAGACCCTTTGATGATGAAATAAGCCAGTGATTTCAAAAGCCTGTGTGGTCTCAACTGTTCTGGAAGGATACTGTCTTTGAAAACCACTCTGTGACTCCTTGCTCCCTGTGGACAAAAAAGCACATGATTTTTCTGTTACGGGTACTTTCCTCACGCGAGCGTTCATGTTCAGCATGCGATGGAATCATGCTTGTCCATGTGAAATAAATATGGCTCTCTTGTGTCCTTGAGGCTGAGTTCTTCTCGACACACCCATTCATTTATTCAGCTCCTCCCAACACAAGGTGCAGCTGGGCCTGAGGACGGGCTGCAGCTTTTTGCTGCTGTGACTGAAACAATTTTAGAGGAGGGAAAATTTATTTGGGGGCCCATGGTTTCAGAGGTCTCAGTCCATAGACTGAGCCCCCTCGGGACTTGAAGTGAGGCAAAACATCATGGCAGAAGAGTGTGGCAGAGGGAAGCAGCTCACATGCCAATCCACTTGCCAGATGCAAAATATATACCCCAAGGGCACACCCCTAATGACCCACCTTTTCTAGCCACACCCTACCTGCCTTCAGTTACCACTCAGTGAATTCCATCAGTGGATGGATTCACTGATTAAGACTCCCCAAACCCAATTATTTTTCCTCTAAACCTTCTTGCATTGTCTCACATGTGAGCTTTTGTGGGGGACACATCACATCCAAACCATAAGAGCCTGGCATGGGGGAGAGGCCAGGGGGCAGAAATGGCAGGGGGGATTTCTTGTTAGCAAAGTCTGGCAAAGAAGGATCATATGCGGATGTGCAGGGATGTTCTCTTTCTGAAACGTAAGTCTGGCTGGGTCAGTTCTCTGCTTGGACACTCTGGAATCAAAATCTAACTCACAAGGGCAGATGACACAAAAGTCTAAGACATTAGGTTTGTGCCTTGGTTCATCTTTCTGACCTAAGTATCTCCCAGGGCATCAAGTGATGGGTCCATGGTACAGAGAAATCAGGGCTGTGGGTTCGCCCCTCTGAGCTTCCCCTATGCCGTTGGAGGGAATTGGAGAAATGATGCAGAAGGAAGAGCTATTTTCAGCAGGAACCTGAGGTCCCGAGCTTCTGGTGACCAGAAAAGGGATGGATTATATATAAATTGCCCTTATATATCCCTCATCCCAAAGTATTCGGTGTCCTGGAATCCTGAGCCAAGCAGTAGCCAAAGCTGTATGCAGAGGGACAGAATCACACAGGGGTGTGAAGAAAACACCTGATAAAGAGTCAGTAAAATGTGCTTGTTTATCCTGATTGGGAAGAGTTCAGTCAGAATTGATGAAGATTCTGAATTTTATGTGCATTAATGCAGCTTAACTCCTTGGCATTACAAACATTCTCAGACTGCCCAGACTAAGTAGCCTCCCAGTCTTAATGAATAGGTATGAGTCTATTGTAATTAGCATATCAATCATTGTATGCAAATGAGAGAGGCTAAAGTACCTTAAAAAAATTCTAGTTTAAATGAGTGAAATTCAGAGTACATGAATCTGCTCAGCAAACTCTAATTTTTAATCCAGTGCAAATGGTCCCTTTTACCCAGGCTGCCCCGGGGCAAACTTGCACACATTCCAAATTAGTGAGGTTTAAATAGATGAAGTCTGACTATTCAGAGACCAAAAAGGAAGTCTCTTGTGTGCGTGTGTGTCTTTGTGTGTGTGTGTGCATGTGTGTGTGTTTGCTGGTGTATTTGCTGAAACAGAATCCCAAATTGGCAGTGCTTTAAGAGATTGAGGTGTGTTTCTCTGTCACTGAGAACCCAGAACGTGTGACAGGTCCAGGACATCAGAGACTGGCCTCCAGGTGCCTGTGATTCAGGATGGTTCACCTTTGTGCATTCCACTCAGCAGGAAGGGAGTGAGACACTAATGAGGACCACCCAAAAGAGAGCAAACAGGGCTATCGATTGAGAGCTTGCTAGAGCAAGGAGCCGTGCATCTGGCAGAGACTCAAAGGCAGCAGAGGGGGGAAAGGTTTATAGTGGAACCAAAGAAAGTCTTCAAGTCACCCCTGAGTGAGGCTGTTTGTTAGCAGGGCTGTTGGTGGGGAGCTGGAGACAGACTCATTAGAAGTGAGACAGCTTCTGTGAGTAGTTTGGGGACACACTTGACTTTTTCTAGTTGGTCCTGAGTTGGAGACAAGGACAGATGTAGGGAAACGAGCCATCTTTGACCAAGTCCTGAACAGTTCTGGCCCAGATGGTCAGAGGTCCACTGTCAAGTTGTCTGACTATTGTCCATTCGTATAGTTAGTATCTCCAGAGCAAAAAGGGGCACGGGAAGAACATGCCTCTTCCATTTGAGGGTGCAACATCACAACTTTCCCACACTGTGGATAGTGCCCCCTAAGGGTGGATGAAGGTAGTGCTACTATTTTCACCCACATTGCCTTGAGTAGAGAACTCAGTCCCTTGATCACACTGAAATGTGGGTGAAGCTGGGAAATGTAATCCTTAATTTGCGTGCTACTGTGTTCAGCTAAAAATAGGGGATTCTCCTGTAGAAGGAGAGAACAGATATTAGGGATCCTAACCGTCCTAATCAGAGAACCTTATCCACACAGCAAATTTTGTGGGTGTGTATGTTTCTCTCTACACCTTGGGGAATGCTGGCTGTGAGTCTCCTCACAGACAGCATGTGTCCACCCTGTGTCCGACCCTGCTTTGTCCCCACCCTGCTTCTATCTACAGACAACATGCTACAGAGGCAAGCACCATTTGGGGAGCCCAAAAGGAATGACGTGAAGCCCTACCTTTGCAATGTCCTGACTGTGGACAAATTATCTAACTTCTCTGGGCCAATTTTTGCTATTAGTAAATTGGGACATAGAGTGTACTTATGATAAGAGATTTCCAACGTGCCTTGAATTAAGTCGCTCTTGCAACCCAGGATCAAGTGGCTTGGTCCAAGCTGGCTCAGTCTAGACTCTGGGATCCAGAGTCTCTGGCCAGATAGAACTAATATCCATTGCCCCCAGGGTGTGAACAAAGTCCCACTTGCTGATTAGATAAAACAGGTGCAATGACAGTGCATCTCCCAGGAACCAGAGGGACGTGATATGGTCTGTTCCTCACCCTGGTAAAGAACCTACTGGGTAAAATCCCAGAAATGAAGAATTGATGGGATTTCACCCAACCGGCCTCTACTTACTGAACACTTCAGCAGACTGGCCAGGTGCCAAGGCTGCACAGTGTGTGGTCGTTAATCCTGTCCCCACCCATGGAGCTCTCCCAGGAATGAGAGTCACATAAACAAATAACTGTTATACACCCTGATGAGGATAACGGGAAGTGGGTGGGGACCTTCCTGGAGGAAGTGACATCCTCCAGATCATCATCTTTTGGAGAAGTTGCTACCTGGGAGCTGGAAAATCCCCTGGGATCATGATTTTTTAGGGGAGCTCTTTCAGATCAAGGATTAAGGATCCTGGGCTAAATTCTGGAACAGGATTTGTCTCTAAGTCTGTCTGCACCACGCCCCAGTCTAGGGGCTACTCTTCCCCCGCCCCCACCCCCCCAATTCAAGGTGGACCTCACACCTGTCTACCTGTAGTAGGTGCAGAAATAGAGATCCACTCCTTTCCCAGGAGAATACGGACTGCTGTCTTCCTGGCTAGACAAATGCAACCTCATGTTCCTCCCTCGCCTTTCAGAGTTCAGCACCAGAGATGAACAGTCAACTTAGGCCAATAAATAGGTGTCCCCGTGGGCTCCTCGCTCTGACAATGAACTTGGCACTGTTTTTTTCTGATAAGTCTGGAGAGCCTGTGGCTCTTATCAGTTGGGGGTGGGAAGTCCGCATAAATATCCCAAAACAAATGTATAAAAGACTCGTTCCATTTTTCTTGTGTGGAATGAAAACATCAATGTCCTATTTAAATAGAAAGTGTATTCCTAATGGGCTTCCCCCCCACACACACACCATAGTGACTTAAACGAATTAAAGAATTAGCCTCTCCAATTCAAGAAGCCTGGGGTTGGAATGTTCAGAGCCAGAACAGCAGCTGTTGTATGATTAGGGACTAAGGCTCTTTCTGTCTTTCTACTCCAATCCTGAGCCCACAGTTGTGTGTGTTGCTGTGCCCAAAATACCTAACAAGAGGGACTTGGAGGAAGGGAGGTTTATTTTGGCCCATGGTGCAGAGGTCTAGTCCACAGTTCTGGGAAAGATGGAAAGCCATGGTGGAGAGAGCTGCTCCATTGAAGAGAGCCAGGAAACAGAGAGAGAAAATGGATCAAGGGGCCAAAGGTAAGATGCACCTTCCAGGACAGACCCCCCGTGACCCACCTCGTCCAGCCATGCCCACCCCGCCTACAGATATCACACAGTTCATTTAAACTAGAACAGACTGATTAGGTTCCAGCTCTCACAACTCAACCAATTCACCTCTGAACATCCCTGTCTTAACACAGGAGCTTTGGAGGACACCCCATATCCAAACCATAACACTTGGCTTCCATCCTCATAGTCCAAGATGGCGGCTGGGGCTCCACTCACCATAGCTATGTTCCATCTAGAAAGATAAGGAAGGAAGGAAGGAAGGAAGGAAGGAAGGAAGGAAGGAAGGAAGGGAGGGAGGGAGGGAGGGGGGGGGGGGGAAACTTTCCTTCTA